CCTCTCCTAGAAATAATCCCTGTTATCAATATATATTTCCGTTTGATTTGCCTTTTATTATACTTATTAGGGGTGAGCAAATTTTTAAGGTAGAACTGGAATCGACAAGTACTGGAATCGACAAGTACTTAGGTGTCAATTCTGACTCCTACATGGAACTGACTCTCACCGAGTTGATTACTGTTCCAAATTTCCTAAACCATCTCAAATTCAAAGGTTTTTTAGAAATAACGAAGAGGGAAGTGGATAAGGCATACCTGGTGTCCATTAATAGAAAGAAAATAAGGGATGTGGATTTATATCATATAGTTGGAGCACATGCCCCGCATGGCCCCTTCTTTTTCTCAATTCGAACTTATTCTTATTGTGGAGGATTAATATTATACATTGCCTTCACACCATTACTTTGATACATACCCATGTACATGCCTTCATCATCTTCCACCATTTTTATTTTCTTTTTTCTATCTTGTTCTTATAATGAAACATTATTATTATTAGGTAAGGACGTAACACCACCTTATATATGTATATATAGATTAACAAGTGATTGAATGAATTCATTACCAATAATAATGTGACACTACCCGAAACCTTTTTACATCGATACTATATTCAAAAAATACTCTGAAATTTTATATTATCTCATCATTTATACGTCATATCATATAATGAGATGAAATTTTCCAAAGCATTGATAGTCAGAACCAAAAATCGTCTTGGGCTTGACGAGATCCAATAACGAAATAAACATGTCACGACCCAAGGCCTCAACCCAATCCCAATTGGGCCTACGTTTAAAATCACCTTGTGAACTACACACTCTACGAGTTGGGCTATCCTATAAGTTAAGTTAAACTGGGTTTCAGCCCATTAGCCTGCAACAATCCATAAATAGGAAATCAGAATCTCATTCGATTTCTTCTTCTACTAAGATTCAAAATCTTACTCAAACTATTAAACTTAATTTGATAAGGTCAATAAATGATATTTCTTTCTCGATAGGGATTATCTCCCTAGGATTCCAACCTCTTGAGTTCACTATAAAAACAGAGGTTTGCCCTCTCATTAGGCATGCAATCTCCGATAGTCAATCTACTCTACTCAAAACTATCTATTTACTCCTAAGTTCTTGCTCCCAAGAACCCGACGCCTCCACCATAGTCCTGGCCTCTAGCAAGACTCCTGGTAATTCTTCATCTCCTTAATTCTTATCAAATAATCTCTTTCAGCCTCGCTGACTTAAGCATCGGAGTGCCTACGGCAAACACCACCCTGGTATTTTCCAGAAGCTTCACGCTTGTCCTTTCATGTGTGCATGTCTAGCGGATTATCAGTGGCCTCAACCTCACGAGATCAGACCCTATTTTCATGACGGTAGATTTTTTACATCTACAATTTGGCGTCCACCGTGGGGCCCTGACAATCATCTACCAATGACGACTTACAACATAGGAGGCGACACGGAACTCCTTTTGACTGACAATGTTAATCAGAAAATCTCATCACGATAATAATTTTTTTTTCTCTTCGTTTGTTTTATCTATTCACATGCCATATTATATCTATTCGGCATATCGTAATTTATTTTATATTATATCCATTCAACGGGTAGTATAAGACCTTGAAGCTCATATTATTGATCTAAATTAATAATAGAATAATAATGTGTCAGAGTTTAAAGTGGTGTTCCTAAACCATTAGATTCAGTGACTTTGCTTCAACAATCTCTCTTCTGTAATCCTCTGTTCAAATAAGGCAATAGCTTTTGTCTCTAACCTCTCTACACATGCCTTTTCACTTCAATCATCAAACCACCAGGTGGTCCACCACTGTCATCAAAGCTTTGTAATGCATTACCCGCCATAAAACCAGTCAATTTGTTCATTCAAGAAGATGCCGCAATATGCCAGCATCTCCAGGACCTCCGCCCCATAGAAGGTAACTCAAAACTCGACCAACCTTGATCCAATCCCAATTCAACTTCACGGAGATTTGCCACCACTTTGAAACCTAAAACCCGTCCACCTGGTCTCATAAAATCGCTCTAACAGCTTCTCCAATCACACAGTTAAATCCTAAAAATACAGCAGTAATACTCTCAAAACACCCAAAGTCATCTACTAAACACGAAGAGAAACCCCCCAAACAAAACCTGCTTAAGTGATGCCACCTCACTCTCGCCTAATCTCCTTACCCCACCGTATTCCAAAATTCTAAACTCGAACCATCGCCCCTTCCCAACCAATACATATCAACTCAAACCACCTTCACATCACAATCTCCAGCACACCTATCACAAAAGCCCTCATGCTCCCCGCTGTTTGCAAACTTTCCACTCCCCACTACAACTCAGCACCAGTAAACAACACGAGTAGTCCACTCAATGATATTTGGGTCTACACATACAATATCAATGTGCCCATTCGGTTAAGCCCAAAAGTGAATCACGTGCCCACTCAACTTCAACTGGTTCAACTCCGACATAGAAAGTAACACCCTTTTCTCCACTCGGTCCAGCAAGCATGGGTGGCAGCACTTAAAGGGGAAAGATATGTATCATTATCTCCTTTTAACTACCACTCTATTTGGTGAAATCTTACTCTATTTGGTGAAATCTTTCTCTATTCGACCCATTACTTAAATACATGCAACCCATTTTTCCATTTAGCTCACTCTTCATTCAGTCCATAACACATGCACATCATGCATATTGACTCTCCATTCGACTTTTTGTTTAAAACATGCATGCCATGCATGTTACTGCTCCAGCTTCAATCAAATGTTTTCAACTACAAAGTCGGTCATGCCGACTAGGCCACATAGCCCTCAAAGGTTTCAACTACAAGTTGGTCACGCCGACTTGACCGCAAGCTCTATACAAGCTCCACTTGGCATACACCTTCGATCGGCCTAGACCGATTCATGAGTTTACACTTTCGATCGGCTCAGGCCGATTCATGAGTTTACAACTTCGATTGGCCGAGACCGATTCATAAGTTTACACCTTCGATCGGCCCAGACCGATTCATAAGTTTACACATTCGATCAGCCCGGAACGATTCATGAGTTTACACCTTTGATCGGCTCAGACCGATTCATAAGTTTACACCTTCGATCGACCCAGACCGATTCATGAGTTTACACCTTCGATCGGCCCAAACCGATTCATGAGTTTACACCTTCGATCGGCACAAACCGATCCATAAGTTTACACCTTCGATCGGCCCAGACCGATCCATAAGTCCACACCTTCGATCGGCCTAGACCAATTCATGAGTTTACACCTTTGATCGGCTCAGACCGATTCATGATTTTACACCTTCGATCGGCCCAGACCGATTAATGATTTTACACCTTCGATCAGCCCAGACCGATTCATGAGTTTACACCTTCGATCGACTCAAACCGATTCATGAGTTTACACCTTCGATCGGCCCAAATCGATTCATGAGTTTACACCTTCGATCGGCCCAAACCGATTCATAAGTTTACACCTTCGATCAACCCCAGACCGATTCATAAGTATACACTTTCGATCGGCCCAAACCGATTTATAGATTTACACATTCAATCGGCCTAGGCCGATTGAATGACTTGCACCTCAAATCGACAAGTCATTGACCCAATCCACACAACGATCCATCCGACATAACGAGCTGCTATCACTAATCCGCTCAGTTTGCACTCATTCAATTAAATCTACTCTCTAAGCTAAATACTTTTTAACTGAGAGAGTAGGGGGCTAACTGTTAGGGCCAAAAATCATATTGGGCTTGACGAGACCCAATAACGAAATAAACATGTCACGGCCCAAGGCCTCAACCCAAGGCTTCAACCAATCCTGATTGGGCCTAGCTTAAAATCATCTTGTGAACTACCCACTCTACGAGTTAGGCTATCCTGTAAGTTAAGCTAAACTGGGTTTTAGCCCATTAGTCTACAACAGTCCATAAATAGGAAATCAGAATCTCGTTCTATTTCCTCTTCTATTAAGATTTCAAATTTTACTCAAATTATTAAACTTAATCTGGTAAGGTCAAGAAATGATATTTCTTTCTCGATAGAGATTATCTCCTAAAAAAAAGGACTCAATGTCCTAATAGGATTCCAATCCCTTGGGTTCACTATAAAAACAGAGGCTTGCCCTCTCATTAGGCATGCAATCTCTGATAGTCAATCTACTCTACTCAAAACCATCTATTTGCTCATAAGTTCTTGCTCCCAAGAATCGGACGCCTCCGTCGTAGTCTTGGCCTCTGGCAAGACTCCTGGTAATTCTTTATCTCCTTAATTCTTATCAAATAATCCCTTTCAGCCTCGCTGACTTAAGCGTTGGAGTGCCTACAGCAAACACCACCCCGGTATTTTCCAGAAGCTTCACGCTTGTCCTTTCATGTGTGCAGGTCTAGCAGATTGTCAGTGGCTTCAACCTCACGGGATCAGACCTTATTTTCATGATGGTAGATTTTTTGCATCTACATTGATTGATAAAAAAATATTGATTTTTTGGGATCCTTCTTTCTTTCGAACGAGATAAGTAGACATAAAATTAGACTGATTCTCCAAATGGTTTTTTTTTTTCGGATATTCCTCATTGTCATAGCTATTCACTTCATATGAAAGACTATGCTTTGAATAAATTGAAGAATATATTGGACCTCTTTAAAATCTACTTGTTCTTTCTTTTTTCTAACTAATGGTTAGAACTTCATCTAAGTTCAAATCCTACTTAAAATGTCAATTAAGGATCAGAAATTGTTGAATAAAGAAGATTTTTTTTTTTTTTTTTGGTTCTTTCGAGACAGTCGGATAGTAGAATTATAGTTAATATATTTAAGATAATTCCGTACTTACAAAGTACGTATAACATATTAACATTGTCCATTACGGCCCAATAAGAAGTGATTGGGTTGGGCTATGAAGCTCAAGTACCATTGTTCTTGAACCGGGCTCAACTCGACCCACTTCAAAGTCTTTCCGTTTTACACTGTGAGTCGGAGAGATTCCTCGTTGCCTATTTATGGTGATTCTGTTTCGCAATTTCAAGTTTCAACAACAAATCAAGTAACAGAAAAAGCATAAACAATGGCGACACTTGAAGCAATTGCAGCTGCGATTGAACAAATAGACTCTAAAAAACAAGTACTTAAGAAAGCATTCGATGAACTTCAATCACACTCTTCTCTTCTATCTTCCTTCTCCGTCTCTTGGTCCGATTTGGATGCCCACTTCACCCAAATTGAGAACTCCCTCACTCAACGATTCCGTCTCCTCGAATCGCTCGAGTCGAATCAGTCTCAGCCAGCGCCACAACCCCAATTGGACTTACCGTCACTGTCTCCGTCATCCCCGACGCAAGACGAAGAAGACCAAGACGAAGACCCAGAAGAGGACCCAGAGGAGGACCCGGAGGAGGACCCTGAGGAGGACCCAGAGGAAGACCCCTCTTCATCTAATCCGGAAACGGTTGAGCGCGAGTTATGTTTACCTACTCATTCTCCGTCAATCCCTGTACAAGATAACCCATCTTCGTCTAACCCACCGAGTGTGGACCGAGTCGAGTCAGTTTTTACCACCCAATGTGACACTCAACCAGACCCACCATCGTCTTCGAACCCGACGAGTGAAGACCGAGTTGACTTAGTTGTGGCTCTACCCGAGTTGAGAACGCTATGTGAGAATATGGATGGTAAAGGGTTGAGAAAATATATAAACGAGAGCAGAAAAAACCAGGAAAAAGTCCGGGTCGAGCTCCCGAGTGCAATCAAGTTCGCTCCGGAGCCGGGTTTGATGGTTTTGGATGCAATGGAAGGGTTTTATGGAGTTGGTGATAAGTTGAAAAGTGTTAAAGACCCGGATATGTTGGGTATAAGGAGGGCTTGTGTGTTGTTATTGGAAGTTTTGTTAGGAATTAATGTAAATATTGGTAAAGAAGTGAGAGATAGAGCAAAAAGTTTGGCTTTTGAGTGGAGGAAAAGGGTGAATTTGCGTGCAGAAAATGGTTTAGAGTTATTGGGGTTCTTGCATTTGGTGGCTGCATATGGGTTGGGAAGTGAGTTTGATAAGAATGATCTTGTGGACTTGTCTGTGGTTGCTGCGAAGTACAGGCAGGGTATCTTATTGTGCAAGGCAATTGATTTAGGTGATGGTGTTCAAGGTATGATAATTGATAGCGTTTAAAGTTGATATGATTCTTTGATATTATATTATGCTTTTGTGATTGTTTTATATTTAGTTTACAGTTGAAAATTTATTAAATAATCTAGAGTGAAATTTAAAGTTGGGAACAGAAGTATGAGCTTTACATAGTGGGGTGGGGGGAAGGGTACGATGTCTTTATGGAAGTGCATTGTCTAATGTGATTGATTAGAATTGTTAAATTAGGGGGAAAGGTTTTGTTAATTAATGAGTAATGGGTTCTTAATACTTGCCTATTCAACAGGTTAACAAATCTTAAATATTACACCGGTTCTGGCTTTTTAACAGCTTGTGGCATTAGGTACAGGCAATAAAAAGTAACTCACTAGTTTGTTACAAAGTTTGAAACTTCCTGTTTTTTCTATTGCTATTGTAGATTAGCATAGCTTACATGGTTTGGTGTAAGCGGAGGTAGAATGGTTTAGATTAAGATGTAACTGAGAACCGTCTATGCAATTAATTAAAGTTGTAACTTATGGATAGAATTGAATCTGAAAGAACTTTGAAATTTTCTAGGCCTGAACGTTGTGTTCTTCGATTTATTATACACATTTTTTCAACACTTTACTGTGTCTCCTTTAAGTAGAATCTGATGAAAACTGCAAACTTATCCTGTGCATTTCAGATCTCATTCAGAAACTTATAGACAGAGGAAAACAATTTGTGGCTGTAAAATATATTTTTGAGTTTAAGCTAACTGAAAGATACCCACCTGTCCCGCTCCTGAAAGCCTATGTGAGCGAATCCAAGAGGCTTGCTAAGAAAATTCGCAAGGATGGAGGAAACTCCCTTAGATCACAGGTATCTTGGTTCTTTGCATGATTTTCATGATACCTTTCATACGTATACTCATCAAGCTTATCCGCAGAATGAGGCCGCGGCCAAAGAAGTCAGTGCCCTGAAAGCAGTGATTAAAGTAATTGAAGATCACAGACTTGAAGCTGAGTACCCAAAAGACATACTTCAGAAGCGTGCAGAGGTACTAGAGAAGCTGAAGGCAGACAGAAAACGCCCTGCTACAACTCCTGCTCCCAAGCCACAGCAGCAACCTAAGAAACTGCAGCAGCAACCTAGGAAGCCGCAGCAGCAACCGAGGAAGCCACAGCAGAGTGGAAACAAGCGTCGTCGAACAACTGCATCCATCGGCCACACAGCACCAGCTGTTACTGGTGCCAATGTAACTGTTCCTCTGTTCCCTCAATCCCATTTGCAGCCAGCGGGTCTGTTGCCTGAGCATTCTGCTGCGTATTTGAGCACACCAACTAGGCCTTACAGCTTGGTGGGCTCCACTCCTCCAGTTGCCCCTTACGCAGGCTCACCCATTGGGTTGTATGGTTTGACAGGAGCCCAGGTGGGTTTCCCAGGGAACTCAAATCATGCTGTGTCACATTTATATTCTTCAGAGTCACACATGCCTTCTGGGTATTATGATAGGTCAACTGCTTATGGTGGATACAGTTTGCCACCTCAATACCATCCATCTTACTATCCTCAGTAGCTCTTGCTACTGTTGTGTATTATTTGTATTTTATAATAGTATAATCCTGGATAGTGTTGTAGCTTTTGCCTGATTCTGCGCTGCTGGTTGTCAGAAAGCATACATTGCCTTTCTGATCACTGTGATTGTAGCACACCAACTAGATTCGCTGAATGATATCTTTGGATGTGTTCTGCGGATGTCCAGAGTATTTTTGGTCAATTCTTAATTTAGTGGGATTCTTCAAATGCTTTAAATATTGTTAATAACTATTTTTTTTGTATTTTTGAAGTTTTTCATTTAGTTAGATTTTGAAATGGGTCCAGTTTTTTTTTTTATTTTTTTTTTATTTTTAGTACTAAACAGTTCTCTATGGTACCTTTTTTTTTTCATTTTACTTAGCAGTTCCCAACTGTGAATAGCCAAAAATAAATAAATAAATAAACTTGCTATGGTTTATTTTATTTCTTTTTCTCATTCCTTTATCAAGCAGATGGCAATTTTCTGCCACTCCCACAAGTTACAGGCTACATTAGGACCTTTGATCTCTCACCAGCCAGCCCTTGGAAAAAGCAAATCTCTATGTTGCTATATAGATTTGGAAAGTTTTCTTCAACTTTTGTTGGTTTTCTTTATTTTTTAACTAGTAGATGATCAACGTATCTGCTTGATTCAGTGTTTGTTTTGCCGCTATTATATAGAGCAGAAAGTTTTCATCCTTTTCTTTTAAATCTCTCTTCATAGTAATACTGATTTTATCTTGAATACTTCTTATGCATTTGTGGAACTTGTTTGAAGGCAATCGTAACATTTGCATTTCTATGTTATCTGGTAACAAATTCATTACTATTGCAGCATCTTTTGTTATTGTTTATCATCTACTGGTTTCATGACCCAAATACCCTTTGTTCATCTTCACTCTTTTTTCAGATAGAGATCAGATATCTATGTGTATTGGTATCATGTTTGATGTGTTCTCTCTTTGTCTCACACATGCATCTGCACTTGTACATGAATGTTAGGATGCTTAGAGTCACAAACATATTTTTGTTAGGTAAAGTAGTTTATAGATGAGCAGAAATTTGACTGCATGTACTGTTTGTGCTGAGTAGGCTGTTTTCTGGTGAAAGTCTAACTATAGAGGACTTGTTCCCAAGCAGCCGAATCTTAATTAATGAATTGACAAAGTTGTTTGAAAGAAAATACTGGTTGAATTCAACATCTGTCAACTTTGTGCAAGGACCATTCTTGGCCAAGCGCACTGCAAATCTGCCCCTTGTTTTTCAGTTTTACATTGCCTGCTTTTGAATTTGAGTTCCTCCATGCACCGGTTTAAATTTTCTGGTGTAAATATGTCGTGCTTCGGTTCAACCATCGCGTGCATTCAGTTTGATCAGTTTCATTCCACTTGGTTTGTCAAATGCAGTTGCGGGATCAAGAGTATTGACTTATGAAACTTTTGTTCATATAATGTTGAAACTTTTCTGCGTTTTAGTTTGTGGTTATATTGTGTACTTTTCTATACTATTCATGTACATTTTACTACTCACAACTAGCTCAGAAATATACCTATCAGGAGCATTATCATTTTCTTTTTCCTCTGTTGATAATCGTGATCAGTTTGTGTGGATTTCTCACTAACTTGGAGAGCAACTTACATACCTGAAGCCGGTTGAATGGCTGTAATGTATATGTATATATGTCATCGTTTCTTGAAGAACTATTGATGATTTTGGAACTCTTGGGTGTTGTTGGAGGGCATAATTTTGCTTAAGAATTATGCAGAGAGAGAATGGAGCAGGCTGTTTGTTAAGGCAAACAATTTGATCTCTAATCTCAGTTAGTGTGTGCAAATAGGGTTAATTATTAACCTTTACGGGTTGGTCTGACGGTCAAGAAGATTTGTTTCCTTCCTTGACTTCTTAGGTTCAAACCGCTTTAAGGCCATCTACCACAATTTGTGGTTTATCTTGGAATATTAGGCTTGTAGAGTGTTCAATGGGTCTCGCAGATTAGTTGAGGTACGAGCAAACTAGTCCGAACACCCCGGTCGTAAAAAAAAAAAAAAAAAGGTTAATTAATGCACTCATGGGGTTTATTTATGCACGAAGATTTGAAGACATAATTAAGAAAAAAACTCACAATGTGTTGCTTGCCTAGAAGAGGTAAAGTTTGAGTTGAGAGACCTAATAATTGTGAAAAGAATAATGAGGACATTCAAGTCTTTTTCGAGTGGTGATTGTCATTTGATTTTTAATTCAAGTTGCATATAAATATCTTAATAATGAGATTCATCTCTCAATTTTGTGGATCAACATGACACCTAAGGTACAATTCTAAACTTTACATTAAAAAAAATTTGAAAAAAAAGAGATTGGGTTATAATATCACTATCATTAACTTGTGACTTTATATTTTAAAAAAAAAAACTTTAACCCTTTGACATTCTTTCTATATTCATAATTAATATCAAAATTTACTGTATTTCTTTAGTGCATTCAATGTACGTACTATTAGTTAATGTGGTCTGCTCGGGGGCGTAGTGAAAGTATACTTAGTGGGGTCACTTGACCCACTGAAATTATGAAATTATTAAAAATAGATTTATCTCTCAATTGCGGATCAACGTGACACCTGCGATACAATTCTAAACTTTACATTAAAAACGAAAAAAAAAAAGATTGGGTTATATTTTAATCATTGTAATTAATTGGGATATTTATGAGTGTATTTGGTTTATTATTTTAGATAGGATTTTAGAGATAGTATTAGATAGTTGAATATGGTGATTATTATGAGATAAAATTTAAAAATTTACAAAAAAAAACCCTATAAGTTTACTAATTTAACTAAACACCCCAATATATAAAAATTTTGTAAAATGATAAAAATACCCCCACCTACCCACAGTGCCAGATTCCAGTCACCACCGTTGGAATCTGGTCAGAATTTAGCATTACGACATAGACCGATTGAATCTTGCCCGTCGTGCATCGTTCTGGCATTTTCCAGCCTAATCCACCACGGATTTGGTTGAAAAATGCCAGATTTGGCCGTCGACAAACGTAAAAGGCCAAATTTGGCCGTCAACGACTATCAAAGATATGGTCGTCGTTGTCGGTCAACAACGGTCAAGAGGTTGGAATCTGGCGTTACGACGCAGTCGATTTGGCCTTTTCAGGCCAGATCTACTATAGATCTGGCCGAAAAAAGCCAAATCTATGGCCATATTTGGCTCTCAGCGACCACCAAAGATATAGTCGTCATTATCGGTCAACAACGGCCAGATCGGCTAATTGCCCACTAGTTCCGGTCGTGGTGGCCGTCGTTGTGATAGATTCAGAATCTGGCAACTATGGGTAGGTGGGGGTGTTTTTGTTAATTTTTAAACTTTTTTCTGGGAGTGTTTAATTAAATTAATAAACATAAGGGGACTAAAAGTAATTAAATATAATATAATAGTATTTCCTAAATAATAAAAAAACAACTATTTTGGGAATAGGGTATGAAATAATAAACCAAACGCACCCTACGTTTTCACATTCTTTCTATATTGGTAATATCAAGATTTATAGTATTTCTTTAGTGTAGTCTATGTACATACAATTAGTTAATACAGTATGTTACATTAGCAATTGTATATGGCACGTGTTTGAACAGTTTTACATACATCAAATACAATGAAATTAATTAATAAAAAAAAAAATGTTGATGTTAAGATTTGCACCAGCGACATGTATGTGGATTTTTCGGTGAAATTTAAGCAAGAGATTGTATGACATCCGTGATGCGATGTTGAATCAATGAACAAATCAAAAGCACAAATAACAAGAGGTTTTTAAAGTGAGTCGGATACTTGATGCAAACCCTGCATACTCTGTTTTTGTATTGTTTTCTATGTTTGTATTTCTTTTTCACGTACAAGTGCGGTTTACAAAAGTACGAATGAAAAATGATGGGTGCCTTTGGCTCCCTATTTCTACCTATATTCCCAATCCTATTCCCTAAATATTGTTTGACATATTTTTCCAGAAATATTATTATATTTTTTTAATTACTTTTAAACCCCTTAAGTTTATTAATTTTATAAATACCCCTAGAAAAAAATTTAAAAATTAACAAAAACACCCTCATCAACTCATACTTGCCAAATTACGGTAACCACCGTCGATGGTAGTCGAAATCTGTACAATAGCCTACACTACGACCAGAACTGGTTAGTAGTTCACTGATAGCCAAAGAAATGGTCGTCGTTGATGACCAAAGATGGACTTCTTTGACCTTTTTCGACCGTCGACAGCCACATTTGGCTGTAGATCTGACCAGAAAAGGTCATATCGACGCGTTATGACACAGATCCAACCATTCTGTATAGTAACACAATTTTTCGGCCAGATTATGATGGTGGTGGCCGGAATCTGGCACTGCAGGTGGTGGGGGTGTTTTTGTCATTTAATATGTTGGGGTGTTTAATTAAATTAGCAAACCTAGGAGTTTTTTTATAAATTTTTAAATTTTACCTCGTAATACTCCCCTATTCAACTATCCAATATTATTTCTAAAATCCTATCTAAAATAATAAAACAAATGGACCCGATATAATTTGAGTAAAAAGTAAGCTCATATACTATTACAACGACAAACTTGCAAATAAAATTAACCCTATATAGAATGACACATGACATAAAACCCTACTTTGCGGATTGATCACACGATAAAAATGTTAATAAATTATAAATGGGTGTTATTAGCATTATCATAAAAAAATAAAAATAAAAAATTTATGTATAATGTTACAAACCCAGTCATTACAATTGTAATTATATAGTTGTAAGGTCAATCTGAAACAAAACAATTATAATATCAATGGTTAGACTTATAAGTAGAAATGATGAATCAATAATTGTAGCATTTACTTATAATTTGTTAACAAATTATGGCTATAACAATTAATAACACACAAGGTCAACATTTTTGCTAAATCTAGTATAATTTAATCATCATAGTTGGCATTTATTAAAAAAACAGCTTAATTAGGAATTATTTTCTGTTGAATAAGTTACATATCTTAAAATAAAAAATTTCATATTTTTGAAATTAAAATAACTAATTCATTTTATTTAGATATTCTAATCGTATTCAACGATATTGTTGTCCAAAAAAAAAAAAAAAAGGAAAAAAAGTGTAATACCCATGAGAAATTATATTAGAAATAAGGTCGTTACATTCTGCATTAAGTGATGTGTTATCGTATATGATATTTTGAGTTAGTTTTTAGGAGTGAGGTGATCAGAGTTACTTTTATTTGGGGTGATAGTAGGTCCAGTCGAGTTTGGATCGTGCACGTTAAACTTGAGAGAGGGTGTTAAAAATTGTATTTATCACATACCGTCAATTTAGTGGATTGTTATTTAAGTTATCTTTTAGAAATGAGTTCTATCTAAACCCGTTTATCCACGTAAATCATAATCAGGGAATTTAATAGTAAAAGTAAGAAAAAAAGAAGAGGAAAATGGTAAAGTGAAAACAAAAACAAACAACATGAAAAACAAGAAAAATGACAATTCAATGGCACCATGACCAGATCCAATGTAACAAGTCAACTTCTACATGTTACAACTCTCTTTCTCTGACAACCTTCACTCACACACACAAACTCTCACTTTCCAAAAACATACAATACAAAAAACACTTCCCCCCCTCAAATTACCATAGTATTCCTCTCCCTCCCCCTTCTCTTGAGTGAAATTCATTTTGGTCTCTCAGATTCTATAAGTATCAGTTAAGTCCTGTATGTTTAAATAGTTTTTGCCAATAACCAACCATGCCCACTGAATAGAGATGGATGATTCATCTATTTAATCCACTTATTAGAGGAAATTCAGTTTGTAAAATTTAAAATACTTCTAATCTTTTCTCGTATAAATGACATTAATAATTAACATAATCGTATTATACTTACAAAGACTATTTAAAATCTTTCATAAAAAGTGATATGTTAGAATAGATTGGATGAATTAATATAAAAAAATCCAGTTATAAATGCACGTAGAGTACTACTAGATCACTTTATATGGATGACTTTGTATAGAGAAAAATGATCATTAAGACGTTAACTGATTATTCTATTAAAATTTTGAATAATAATTAAAAGAAAATAAAAATTGGTATTTACTTTTAAAAAATTCTTTGAATGGTTGTCAACTAATAATAAGACCTAAGTGTTATTTTGAGATTTTTCTGGACTTTAAAAATTATCCATATATAAGGGGACCACAATGTAGTTAACTCCCCTTCTCTTCTTACCTCTAAACTTACACACCGTCGCGCACACACACTCTCGCAAAACAAAAACAATGAAAACAGGAAAAACACTTTCGTGAAATTACAAAACTACCCCTCTCTCCTTCTCTTGACTCACTACTTAACTCGCTTTTAACTCTCTCTCTCTCTCTCTCTCGCTCACACACATCAGAGACGCACACTTTTTTAATTTTATTTTCATTTAATTTTTTCTTTAATGGAGGCGACTGAGGTTCGACTGGGACGGTACGACGCTGTTATGGACACGGCCGATCCGCCACGTGTCGGTTCCACCGTTGACACCACCTCCGCAGGTGTTGGAGCTAGGTACAAGCTCATGTCCCCTGCCAAGCTACCGATCTCGCGCTCGCCCTGCATTACGATCCCTCCTGGTCTCTCCCCGACATCGTTTCTGGAGTCCCCGGTTCTTCTCTCTAATGTCAAGGTTTGTTTTTGTGTTTAGTGTTTTGTGGGATTTTGGTTTTGGGTTTTGATTCTGTTTGGTTTCTGAGTAGAGAAAGTGGGGATTTTTTTTAAGGTTAGGGTTTGGTAATTTCGGGGAGGAGAATGATGGAAGTTGAGAGATGAGGTCTTTTAGATGCTTAGTTGGTGTTTGGTTGCTGAGAAAGTGCATGAAAGTGCGGGAAAATGGGAGAAAGTAGAGGAAAATGGAATTTTGTCTTTTAGCTTAGCTGTTGTTTGGTTTGGTTGCTAATTGAATAGTGGAAATGCTTTTTCTCCTTTAGTTTAAGATCTGTTTTGGTGATACAGATTAAAGTCAGCCAAACAAGGCCTTCACTTCCTTTTTGGGATATTAGACTATTAATGAAGTGAAGAATTTTACCAAATTTTGAGATTCAAAATTTTGATTTTTGATTTTGTATTTATTGCTACTGTTACTAAGATTTGATAGTGACAAAAAGGACGGTCTAACATTTGGCTTCGTGTCAAGTTTGTGGAAGTTTTACTTGTAAAAGGTATATTGATGTAGTAGTGTGGGTTTAGTGGAGAATTTTGTAGACTTGGGTGATGTGAGTTGGATTTAATTGTGAGCTAGAAGATGCTCATTTTTTCGGTAGAAATTCGAAGTTTGTTTTATAATATTTGGTTGGTTATGTGTCTCAACGATTAGATATTACATATGGGTCTGCTCATGTTTGGACCTTAATAAGATTCTGATGCTTTCTATTACAATACTCTTTGTGTTGGCTCGTTGATTTCCAGGTGGAGTGTTGTGCGGAATATGGCTTTTGGTTTAAAATTCTTAAACTTTTTCCTTTTATAATGCCCAGTTTTGTTTTTTCACATAATGATGAATCTTCCCTTTTGTTGGTGGAGCTGGTTGGCCTTTTTGTTTTTCATTTAACATTGTTGTCGGTTGTACGAAGAACATTTCCATTTTGTATGTCGAATATGGAATAAATGCCTTTGGTGACGAGGAGTGGATTATATTACACTTGTTAAATTTGCTGTGATGACAATAAGAAAGAGTAGGCTAGGTTGTGCTAGGAAGCATATGGGTCAAGGCAAAGAGGAGATATGTGATTGCGTAAGATTTATTTGAGATGTGACCTCAGATAGAGATGAGATGTTGGAGAGAAGATTCGTACAGCAAAGCATGAGTAGTTTTCTATGTCGCTAGGTAATCAGAAATATGTGGATTATGAACACATGAATTTTACTTTGCTCTTGTCTAGGGGTTTCCTTTAGAATCTCTCTTTGCTGTCACTTGAATTCCTTTTGTATTATATAGACTTGCCAGAGTTAGTATGTTTATCTTGGATGATCGGGTGAGTTTGCTTTAAGTATTTATTGGTGTTGATTAGAGCTTATCTGGATATGTGCTAGCAGTTTCCTCTTTGCAGATTGATGTGAACCCGTCATATTAATATCATATCTGAATTGCTGGCTGATCCTGTGTCTGGGGCTTGCAGGGATGATGCAAATTTCCTGTATTTTCATTTTCAACTTTGATGTTTTTCTCTCTTAATTAGTTTTTGAACGAAGAAGCTTTGAAAGTTAATTCTATTTGCCTTTTTTTTTCTTTTTTTTTTGGGTCTTGTAGGCCGAACCTTCCCCAACAACTGGTTCACTTTTTAAGCCCCAGACACTGCATGCAACTGCTGGTTCCAGTACATATTTGGCTACAACAGTTTGTTCAAATACGTCAAACGAAAGAGAATCCAACTGTTTTGAGTTTAGACCCAATTCTAGATTAAATATGGTATGGCCTAATGATTTACTTATGTTTATATTAACCTCCTATGAATGGAATTGTAAATAAAATTTCAATATTTCTTGTTTAGGTGTAGATAATTGACTAGTCAACGAAGTAAACTTGGATTCTTTTTTAATCTGCCTACAGATTTGATGTTTCAAAGATATATATAGTTTCAAGCCTTTAATGTTGTTCTACTTTAGTGGCTAACATTATCCATAATAATTTATAGTGGTGCTCATTGCTTATTTGTTTGGTCTAGTACAAGAATTATTTAACAAATATCTAGTGTGATTTTCTATTTATAGTTGTATGTTTTTCCTGGTGCTGCAAGTACATTTGTATGAATCTTTTCTGATAATATTAGTTGAAGGATGCAATAGGATAGATGAAGCAGCCTTTTGACCTGAACTGCCTTCTTTTCTCTATCTGAATCTTAATGAAAGAGACTGATGTGCATATTTTTTTCAGTATACCATTCACAAGTATTGAATACTGTGGTAATGATTATAAGTCTTTCATCTATTTCAAGGTTCCTGCAGATCTTAACCGCCAAAGAAGTGAACAATATATGCAAACAGAAGGTCAGTGCCAAAATCTGTCTCTTGCTTCACCTACCATTAAAAGTGAGATGGCCGTCTCATCAAATGAGTTGAGTCTATCAGCACCCATTCAGATGGGTACTTCAGGGGCTACAGTGCCTCTCGAAGTTGATGCAGATGATCTAAAGCAGATAGGGAACCCAAGTACTGTGATCCAGGCAACTCATGCTGACCATAAAGGAAGTGGGTCTTCTATGTCATCAGATGATGGATATAATTGGCGTAAATATGGTCAAAAGCATGTTAAAGGAAGTGAATTCCCACGCAGTTATTACAAATGTACACATCCTAATTGTGAAGTGAAAAAGCTATTTGAGCGTTCTCATGATGGACAGATAACAGAGATAATATACAAGGGAACTCATGATCATCCTAAACCTCTACCAAGCCGTCGATATTCTGCTGGTACCATCATGTCCATCCAAGATGAAAGATCTGACAAGCCTTCGTCCCTAACTGGTCGAGATGGTGAGAAAATAAGTTTCAAAGTGATTTGTATCTGTTGTTATTTTATGTGTAGACTGATGTGTCTTTTCCATTTCGTTCTGTATTTGGCATATTAGACAAGTCACCTGGCATGTATGGTCAGATGTCTCAGACCATGGAGCCAAATGGTGTATCTGATCTGTCGCCTGCAGCCACAAATGATGATGGTGCAGAAGGGGCCGAGGGTGATGATGATGATCCATTTTCGAAGAGGAGGTATTATAGTTCAGTATATGCTCATATGCGTTGACTAGTACATCTACATATTTTTCTAACCAGGACGTTTTATAAAATATCGAGCAGAAAGATGGACACCATGATGGCTGATGTCACTCCAGTGGTCAAGCCTATCCGGGAACCACGTGTTGTTGTTCAGACACTAAGTGAGGTTGATATACTAGATGATGGATATAGGTGGCGCAAATATGGGCAGAAAGTGGTTAGAGGAAATCCTAATCCTAGGTATGTGTCAAGATTGATGATTATAATTGTGTGTTCTCTTTAGTTAATTGGATCTGTTTCATGGTTGATGAGGATGGACTTAAAATATAACCAAGTTTTTTAGTACATCAAGTCACACTTATGCACAACGTTCAAATTCTGTTTAGTTGCTGTCCATAATTTAACTTAATGTGGAAATTTTGGATTCTGATTATTGATAATATATGTAATTCAAATGGATGTACTAGTGGTTCATGTGCATTGGTTGATGTTCTGGCTGTAAGTATTTTTCACCTGCATTATGCTTACGATCGTATGCAGGAGTTACTACAAGTGCACAAATGCGGGATGCCCAGTTAGAAAACATGTGGAGAGGGCATCACATGATCCAAAAGCGGTTATAACAACTTATGAGGGGAAGCACAATCATGATGTACCTACGGCAAGAACTAGTAGCCATGACACTGCTGGACCACCAGCTGGGGCTGGACCGTTGAGGATGGTAGCTGAAGAAAGTGACACAATTAGCCTTGACCTTGGGGTTGGGATCAGTTCTGCTGCTGAGAATAGATCAATTGAGCAGTCACAGGCACTGCATTCTGAACTTGCCCAAGGCCAACCTCATGCTAGCAGTTCCAATTATAAAATAATTCAAGCAAACCCAGTCACAACATATTATGGTGTCTTAAACGGTGGCATGAACCAGTATGGATCAAGAGAAAATCCCATTGATGGCCGTAGAATGGACATTCCACAATTGAATCATTCTTCTTACCCATATCCTCAAAACATTGGAAGAATACTAACGGGTCCCGATTTCTTCTCATGACGTGATGAAAAAAAAAAAAAAAAAAATTGCTCTGGTTTATTTCCTTTTCTTCCTTTCAGCTGGTAAGATAAAAAAAAAAAGGGGTAGAATCCTGTTTGAAAGTAGATTGTTCTATATGTGATAGTTGTCTATGATGATGATAGTGTTTTGTTAACTGCCACATCTGCAAAATGCCTTCAGTATTTATAATTATTACAGTTGTATTAACTTCTCAGAGCTCAATGCTTTGTACAAATGTGAAACTGATACGGGTTTTATTTTTCTTAAAAGAAAAACAGTATTGTAAAACAGTTCTTGAAATGGAATTTGTAAGAAAATGTGTTCTTTTGAGGAAGTATTTGTGACTTTGAATGTTTTAAGTCTGTGTTTCATTTGCTATTTGCTTCAGCTTGAGATGAGATAGCAGTTTGAGGTGAAAAAAGAGGGGGGAAGAATTTAGATGGTTGATTTCAAATTACTTTGTTGTTTTGTTAGGGGACAAGGACAAAAGGCCATAATAAGCCTTCCTCTCTGGGATCCATAAACACTTTTGTGTTCTGGTGCATCTAAGCAACTTGGTAAACAGCTATTCACATACAAGGCTGCTCTTCCACACATAATCCTCAAATTATCAAAACAAATAATTCCATGTTCTTAAAACCATCTAGATGCATTGGGTATTTGTAACATCTTTATTGTCTTTATATTTTCAATTAGAAATTGGATTTCAACCAATTTTCTTACTATTGTGGGTGGTATATCTTTCTTTAATCATGGCAAATTCGGAAAAAAAAAACCGCGTAAGGATTTAGGGTTAGGGTTTAGATCTAAGGTAAGAGTATTTTCTAAAATACTTGATAGATTCTTCTCTCTTCAATGGTTTCGAGAAGAAAGATTGTTTATCTTTTATTTATAATTTAGGGTTACGATTATATGTAAGGTAAAAGTTACAAAATCTTGATATTTTTTTTTTTGCTTTAGTAATTTGAGAAGAAAGATTACTGGTATTTTATTTAGAGTTTAGATACAAGGAAACGAATTTTCAATTCTTTGAGTAGTCGAGTGGTTCGATAAGAATTTTTGGTGTATTACTCAAAAAGTTTTGAGTTTGAGTCTCTCATCAGTCCTCATAGGGATAACCACCGAGCTCTTACTGATCGTAGTTCAGAGTCTCGGGATTATTTGAGGTATCCCGGTTTATAAAAAAAAAAAAAAAAAAAAAAAAACAGAATTTTTCACAAAAATCTCACATAAACACCTTTGTTTTAAAAATATTTCAATAATTTCTTTTATATTTTGAATGGATGCAAAAGAACATTGATACGAAGTGAGCCAAAATGGAAGATCCAACAAGCTTCATAAATAAGGTGGGCCACGGTCTGTAAATATTTGAATCTCTTCCCTTGCTATCTTGTAGCGAATAAACAAAAACGTGTAGGTTTTTGTGCCTGCTTACTGCTACTACCATCTTTATTGCTCTGTAAGTAAACTACAAATGCCCATAAAGCCTTAAAATTAACCCTTTTGTCTTTCACTTCAACAGGGATTTGTAAACACATTCAGCCACGTTGTGCCTCATTTCTCCACCAAGACCTTAGCTTAACTTACTCTTCAACAAGTACACACAAATATGTCTCCATGTCCAGAAATTGAAAAAAAAAAAATTTTCTTTTTGTTATTTTTCCTAATAGAGATGAAAAAGAGACTACGTTTTATTTCACTCAAGCGTTTGTTAATCTATCTTTTATCCTTAGTTATTATGCAGTACTGTAAAAGTAAATATTACAAGTTTTAAGTCATGAGTTCTTAAATTTTACGTTGATAGATTGATAAAGCGGTGTATCTGTAAACTTAACTTGAAGAACAACTTATTTAATTACTCAAAACTCATTTTGAGTTTTAACCGAACAATACAGAATATTCTGAAAAGAGTTTTGTGCATACTCTATCAGTAAAGCACCTAGAAAAGCATCCACTCTACATTGTTGAACCGTATCTTGTGTTTGAGCTCAAAGTTTTTGGAGAATTCAACAGTGATATAGAGAACAGAGAGAGAGAGAGAGAGAGAGAGAGGAAGATGCAGGCCATGTGGGTATCTTTGAAAGAGAATGTGAAGTGTAGAACTAAACTGAATGATGTGGTTAAAAGGCAACAAAAATGCAGCAAGACAAGGAGTCGCAGTAGGTTTGGAAAAGAGAACTGGCAGTACAATCAGCTACATGAAATGAGAAATCCTATACCTGTACCTGAACCTGTACCTGAAGTTCTTTTCAAGTTGAACTATCCAAGAACTCAGTTTTACAGTAAGTCTTTGCTATCATTTACTTGCTTGGGTGCTTCAACACTTCAAATCTTCTGTATCATTACATGAAATTCTGTTTTCAGTTTACCGTTAACTCGCCATCTTTATGCAGATATCAACATTGGAGATCTATCAAGAAACATTATTGAGACCATCTTCCTGAAAGCACTAATGGATCCTTCAAAGCCATTAAGGAAAATCGAAACGGTGCTCAAAGTGAAACACCGGGTCGAAACTCTTGAAAGGTTTGAGAAGTATAGAGAGAAGGTAAAGAAGAAAGCTTATGTGCAGTACACAGGACATCCAAGAAGCACGGTAGATGGAAACGAGCTGTTACGATTCTATGGCACAGTGATTACCTGCAGTGAAAGGTTAACACGAGTCTCTGATCTTTGCAAAGATCCTTTCTGCCGTGTATGCAGAATCATTCAGTATAACTTTGATACAGAATACCTCAAGAAGAATGGGATCCGAATGAGTTCAAGTAGTGAGGAATTGTGTGACATTAATATGATTGCCTTGACAAAGTTGAAGAATATCAAAAGGGCTGTCATAGTTTGCAGGACAATTGCTGGGAGAGTTGCTAATGAGGCTGATAAAATACCTGAAAAGTGTGATTCATTCAGAAGTAGAGGACTGGATTCCAACTCTGACAATTTGATTGTTACCAATGCCTGTGCTGTACTTCCCTGCTTTGTCGTAGTCTTTACTTGACTGTAGCTTTAGTTTTTGTAGTGTTTTTAGAAAGTGTTTTTTCTGTTTAGAATTGGTATAGTTTTACTATTTGTTTTACTTATTTTTTAACAAAGTTTGTTCTGTTAATGTGTATAAAAGAACACATTGTTTTGCAGAAAACAATTGTTGCATAATCATACAACAACATAAGGTTATTAAGACTACAAAATGTAGATTTTCGAAGGCAGCAGGCCTTTATAGAGTGTTGGACGGTTGGGAAGCTTAGTTATTAAACAAAAAGAAAACCATAATCATACAACAACATAAGGCTATTAAGACTACAAATAACATGTTCTAAAGTTCTACCTCAAAGTCACAAGCCAGAGAACTATGAATATGCATCAATAATTAGTGGCCTATCAGCTCCATGCACAAGAAGTGATTATAGCTTGGTTTTTCCAGCCGAGAAAGAGTGCACCATCCCTTTCTTCGAGTGTGTACTTGTCGTTGTAACTCTCCAGCAGAGATTTGATAGTTGCGTTCACAACAGGACTTAATGTATAGGGTGTAAACCCCGCCATTAGGAAACGGTATCTCCACTTGCCTAGAAGCTCATGACGTTCCACTCTTTCAGGTCCTTCGCATGCTATAATGTTGACAATCTCCCGGGCCAGGCAGTGCTGCTCAACATTGATTCGATCCTTGTGATCTCTTGGTAGAGCAACATCAACTGATTCGAAGATAGCCGCGTAATGATTCATTGTCTCAAGGAAACGATTGAAAAATGGGGCAGTATTTGTATTGGCTTCTTGTTCAACAAGAGTGACCACCTTAGGAGACAAGCTCTTCACCAACCTCAGGAGTCTGTCTCGATGATTCTGGGTGCTCACACTTTCATCTGGCATGTGGTGTAGCATCAATGCAAAATTCACAGCAATAGCTTCACCAGGTCGAACTCCGAGGTTTTCAAGTTGGACATCAGAGCCAGACATTGCAGCAGCTTGGAACTCGAAAGGTACCTTGTATGCCTCTGCCAACTTCGACAGTCTTTGGCCCACAATTTCAAGTCCTCCTCCCCTGGCATAAGCTGATGTGGTATCATCAATGCCTGTAATTCGAACCTTTGGAGGCCCTCCTGGCCTAGAAGCAAGAGCAATAATAAGTATGATCCACTGGGTGCCTTGTGCAATTTGAAAATCAATTATGTGGACTCTACTTTCATCCTTCATGGCTTCAGCAATTGCTCCATTTGCTGACATATATCCAAACTTGAAGTATGGGCAGATTTCGTACAGTAAGTGCATGTATGAGAAAAGTTCAGCACTAGCAGGCTCTTTGCATCTCAGGGCTTTGTAGATACAACTTCCTGTGGAGGCTAACCTTGCAACAAGCCCCTCCAACATGTAAGCTCCTAAACGTTGGACAGGCTCACCAGAAACAGACACCATCTGGCGTAATCCTGTCATCAAACATTCAGTTGTATACATATCATTATTCTCTATAGCCTTTGCACAAGTGCAAAGCACCTCTTTTAAGTCTCCTCTGGACAACATCTCAACCACGTGGTTCCACTTCTCTGACTCCGATAAGATTTGGTCTCCACTTGGACTGGTGTTGTTGTATACCTCAAGGTTATCTGAATCAGGCCCAAGCATAGCACTTTCTAGTTCCCTTATCTTGTGCTTCAGGTCATTCTCATCGTCTATAACACAAGACCCGTTTACTGGTGACTGGCTAGTATTCTCAGGTGAATGATTGAGGTCTGACGGGCATGACTGAGAGTTTAGCCGTGAACCTGGGCTCTTCTGAGGCGAAAAACTGGCGGTAGATGGAGAATTAACAGCAGGATAACCGCCTGTTCCAGAGGATGATTCAAGGTTGCAGTATTGATCAAAAGTCTCCACTGAAAGGTGCGCTCCTTCACTGCTATCGTCAGAGCATAAGCTGTGGTCTATATTCTGAAAGGGAGGCCAATCAAATGAGGCTACCTCTTGCACAGGCTGGTCAAAAAACTTCTGCCTCCCATCTGAAATTTCATGTTTCTGAGATGTTTGCATTGTATAAGGCTAATTCTTTGATCTAGAACAACAAAAGGAGACTGTGGCCCGAAGCAAACCAGGAAAGTTCAGGCAACAGTTTTCTCAAACCTTGGTTACTCTACATAATGTTTCCATCATCACTTGACACATACAAAATACTGCTCGGTGTAGATAATATATCAACAAACTGACATATTCTGCAGGAAAGGTTAAATCAATTATCATACAAAAGGAAAGACAATCTGTAGAACAAATTGGCAGACACGAAAAGGATGCAAGTCATGAGAAACAAAAAACCAAATTCTTAGCTCCAAATACAAAACCCCTTTTGTTCTGTCTAAGGTGAATCAAACATAAAACTCGAGGCATCCTGGTCCAAACATATGCCGTTCCGAGGAAAGGGATGAAAACGGAAAGAAAAAAGTAAAAAAAAAAAAATTGCAAATAGCTGAAAAATATGTTTTGGACTCTGAAATTTACTCAATAGACATGATTTCTCAACTCAATTAGAGTGTTCTAGCACAAGTACAGATCACAAAACATGCAGATTAACTTGCAGGAGTGCTAACAAGCTATTAAAAATCTTATGACGAAAATCCCCACAACTCCCACCTAACTTAGAGCCTAATTAATTGGTTTGGTAGTGCAGTCCTGCACCTAAAATTCATTTCCTGAACTACCATCTAACAAGGACGATTATCATGTTACTGGCACGGTAAAGTTACCAGGCCAGTTTCTACCATTTGATCATTGTTAAGTTTTGAACAAGGTAGATTTGCCCATGATCTAAAGGAAGAAATTGGTTCAGTACCATTACCGGGCCAGTAAGGGAATATGGCCCAACTATTGTACCCAAAGAAATGAAACAGTTAAAGATGAAAAAAACATTTCAGAATATCTTCCCAAAGTATCAACCTAAAATACTAGACAACGTTAAAAAGAAAAAAGAAAAAAGAAGCAAAAAAAGTTCCATGATGGTTTACAAGCTCTGAAAAAGGGAAATTCAACAGAGAAAATTTTCATTTGTAAAATCAAGAACTTCTCCCATCCTCTTATTGAGAGTGAAAAGCAAGTTCTTATCACTCTTCCCCCCAACTGTAAATTCATAAAAAGGAGAAAATTTCAACAGAAATCATTCATGACTTCAAATATATTGAATCAAAAAGTTCCCAAAACTGGCAAGCAAGTGAAACAGAGATCCTGAAACAAGCATCCCCTTCACAACATCATACCAAACAAATTACAAAGAAAGCTTCATTAAACAAGTAGAAAGATCAATTTTTTTTTTCTTAAAAAAACCACATAATCAATCACCAAAACACAGACAAACTGAAGAAGGAAAAAACCATGAAACATGTAAAAACTCACAAGAGTCGTCTCTAAAATCAGAGGCGAAAATCATGATGAAATGAAGAGAAAATCAAAGGGGTTTTAGCTGACCTTGTGTTGAAACTCCTCGTCTTTAAGATTTAGTGTTTGATTAGGATTCAAAGTTCAAAACTAAGACAAAGATCTGCGAATATCCATGTCTTTTAGTTTGGTTTCAAGTATACGATAAGGCATAAGCTGATGATGCCACTAAGTACCTTAATATATTTATCACAGTCAAACTTTATTATTAAATGACCTCTATCATTGAAAAAATTACATCTCTGCCACTCAGGTGAAAATCTCAGCATCTTTTGCGTCACCTTTTGTGTTTTTTTTTGCCGACCTGTTTCCGTAATTAAAAATATAATTATGTGATTAAATTAAATTAATCTCTAGTTTTATTAAAGTGTTGGTTACAAGGTATTCTTTACTGATATAAACAAATAAATAAATATTTAACTAATTAATTAATTAAGAGCAAACGACATGTTTCCATCCAAAGATAAGTGACTTAGCAAGTTTCCACCCTTAGTTACATTTATTACAGATTCTCACCTTTAAAGTGACTCTATTAGTGATTGTGGAGCTCCGACAAATGTTATTACAAAACTACCCCTGTACCATCCCATTCCAAACCTTGTGTTTTTTGCCCTACTTCCTAGCCTTTTTTCTGGCCACCCTCTCCACCGAAAATCATCCCCCACCTAGCCATTCAATTGATCGGGCCGCCCTCTCTAAAACCCCCATATTTCTCGACCTTGTTCACCTTCTTGTCACCGTTGATTGAAGGCCCTTTCCCTTGGGTTTCATTAAGTTAAATGATGATTGGGGTTATGGTGCTTGTGCTGGGGTTACGATGTGGGTGGCAAGGTTTGTCAACAGGTTGGCACCGAAGGTTGGCCGAAATGTCCTGCGACCGTGGAAGACGAAAAGTCTCTTAGATGGGTTTTGTGGCAGTTGGGAGATGGTGTGGGTTTTGCGGGGGCTAGGAGCTGGTGTGGGGTTTCTGGTAGCTGGGAGATGGTTTGGGGTTTTGTGGTGGCTAGGAGATGGTGTTTGAGGCGGCAAAGGGATGGTGTTGGGTTGGTGGCGGTGGTAGTGGCAGTGGAGTTGAGGATGGATTGGGTTGTTAGAAAATTTTGGTAAAAAAACATAAATACCTTTTAACCGTTATATTAAATGATTTTTGATTAACTTAAGGATGAGAATGTAGAATTTATAAAAATGGGATGGAAACTTGTGTTTTCAATAAACCTTGGGTGAGAACATGCATGTCGTTTACTCATTAATTAATAGGACCACAATAGTCGCAGTCTAATGTAAACAAATAAATATTGACTTCATGTCTCTTGTTTTTATTAATTTAAGGTCAAATAATGTGTTACATGTTGGTTGAAAAATAATAAAAATTTAATAATTAGCCCAAGCGTTTACTTCATGTCAAGTTTTGACGTATTAAATTATGTTTAAAATAAATGAAGATAATAATTAAATTAAAATAATTAACCCATTAATCAAGGCTAAACTAAGCCGCCTTTTAGAGCTCCAATGGAAAACAATTAAACAAAGAGGAGCTTTGGGACTAGCAAAAAAGATAGGGAGGAGACCAGAGACCATAGACCAGAGCCAACGTGTGCGAAGGAAAAAGATGAAACGAAGGAATGAAGGACCCACGCGGTTTAATTATTTATTTATTTACTTGATAATTTCTCTTCGTCCTAAAGGGAAAATCTTTTCCCTCATCTATCTATCTATCATCAACACGAACATGAAGCCAACCAGATAAAGTATTTTAATGGCCATCAATCACCATGAATAATATATCCCATTCATTTTACTACGCGTTTTCTTTTTCCCTTTTCTTTATTTTATTGCCTTTCTAGATGAATTTGTCGATTCTCTCATGTTATTGACCTTGAAGAAGCACATTTTGATACGTTATATTTTATTAATAGTTTCTCATAGGGTATGAATTCAAAGTATGTTGGATTAATGCACTACAAAATATGTAGTTAATCATTCGTTTAAGTTTAATTGATTATCCATCTTGAGATTTAAGAGAGGATCTTGATTCGATATTTATAATAAAAACTATCGCCGTAGTTGTAATTTAAGAATAATGACGGTTTTATATTATTATGTGATACATGAAGGGAGATGTTATAATCAAAATATGTAGAGTGACCCACATTTGTTATCTTCAAAGTTTGATGTCACACAAGTGTTCACTTTTGCATATTACATATATGATTCAACGTATCAATTTAATGCCTTTCATAAGGTACTGATTTTAAGTATGAGTCAATTTGAGTAAATGAATCCCACCTAATTGAAAACTATATATATATATATATATATATATATATATATATATTTTACTCTATTTGTTTTATTTTGAATATTACTTATAGGTTGTATTATGTATATCGAATCCCTCTGACTCCCAAGATTTCAGTGGGGGACTGTAACATTGGGTTGTTGTCTATCTCTTTCGAGAATAGTTAAAGATGCACGTAAGCTGACCTGGATTCTAGGTTTCAAGATAGCTGTTCTTTTCAATTTAGTTTGCAATAGTTAAAAATCTAAAGTTAAACATGGAAATATAGGTTTATAATATTTGTTTAAGTTTGATTAGTTGAATTTGATGGCCTTCCCATGGTTTCACCGACCATGAAGGGCCCTAAATAGTGGTTAATTATATTTTAATTATATTCCACATTTTGTCTTTTTCTCCTCCTGTATATTCAATTTATGTGATTAATTAAGTCCATGAGTTACATGAAATCTATTAGATATATGTATAATAATATTTCAGCCTCACCAACTCATATTTAAGATCAAGAACCAACAACTACCCTTTATTATACTATATGACCACGGAAACAACATAAATATAATAACCTAAAGTAAGACTAATTTTAATCATCGATACCGTCAGTATATTTTTTGTTGAAGAAAATTCTAATCATCCGTCTAAGATTAGAATTAAAAAGGTTTGAAAACCTACATATCAAAAGGGTTTAAGATCTACAAAGTCAAGAAAACTGAAGTATACATACGTACTATATCCATACATCACTATCTATAATATAAAAAAATTAATAATTCATCTCTGAAGCATTTATAATACAAAATATTTACCCTTTTCTCAAAGTCTCAACAAAGAACATTTTTATAACGTTAATATAATCTCATAATCTTGCAAGTGACTAAATTTCAAACAAAACTTTAGAATTCAAAAAGAGAATTATTGGTTGATGGAAAGTCAAAGATATATTAAACAGCAATATTAATTATAATTAAGGAGTTGGTTTAATAAAGACAAACAAAGTAATTATGTATATGAAGAAACATCAATTGAAGATGAAGGTTTGTCATGTTGGTGGTGATAAGGGCAAGTCTTGCATAAGGATGACGTATATTTTGAAAGAAATATGACTTTTTTAAGTCAAAACAAAATTACAATTTATTATTTTGTAATTTTTGTTCAATTCAACCATAGAATAATGAGTTTATTTTGATTTTATAAGACTTTGGCGTGTTTCTTTGTCGAACATCTCTTTATGGTGAATTAACAGGAGTAGTTTCATGACTTCATGACTCACGTCATAGTTAATCATAAAGTCAATATATTAATGCTAGTCTATAGAAAATGTTATAGAAACCATGTTTTTTTTTTTTTTTTTTTTCATCATAAATCAATGTTTTACTTTAATAACGCGACCGGGATGAGTGGCCCAATCGGTCGTGGGAATGTCAAAATGTTTGAAATCTACAAAATACCCCTAAATTACATGTTAGTCCCTATAGTTGAAATCCACAACAACACCCCAAATCAAATTGCTGTCTATTGTGGCGCGACAACACACCAAATGCAAATCCCACTCATCTTTTGAGCCATTCCTCAACAAATTATCTAAAATCGGTCAAATAACCATTTTGAGAAAAACACTGCCACCGAACACGACAACCAAGCCAAATAGGCCTATTTCCCTGTCACAACAATCCCATCACCACAAAAATACTCCCCTCAAGTCTCCTGACCAAAACCCATCTCACCCCCTATGTTCGCCTGCCAATTGCAGCAAACCCACTGTTGGGCCACATGACTTTTTTCCTTTTTCAATTGTTTCACCATCAAAATCACCTCCTCACTACCTTTCAACTCATGCACTCCCTCTAAAACCCCCAATAGCCCGCCATCGTCTACTCGCCAATTGCCCCTTCCTCTCTAGGGTTTGCTTATTCGGTTTGTAATAGTTGAAATTGATGACCCACCCGATAAAGGCTTCGAGCCCCGGTTGACCTTAAACCAGCTAGGCGGACAAGGTTTTAAAAAATGCATAAAATCAATAAATTAGGCTTAATTTATAGAAAATAATACAACCATAAAAAAATTACCCAATAATTTTATGATTATTGCCAAATATTACAGATTATGTCTCTCTCTTTTTTGGATGATTTAGAATTGGAATATAATGTAGACAAGGTTTATTTGGTTTATTAGCCATATCATTTTCAGGCAAATCACATCTTAAGAGTAAAACTTTGAAAATTAATCATGTTTTGTGGGTTGAATTTCCTTGTAACTACTGATACTGACAACACTCTTAGAATATGTATTAATAAAAAACACATTTTAATTTCATGTCCTAATCGTAAGTCAAGAGACAAGATGGCAATCTAAAAACAACGAATTTATCAAAGAATAATTGATTCTGCCGTACAATCTTTTCCCAAAAAAAAAAAAAAATAATAATAATAAATAATAACAATGATATAATTGAATACACCATGTAAGTAATTAACATGTCATATTAAATATATGTTCAAAGATTAATTAATCAAAAGTTTAAGGAAAATATGGGCACCCAATAAGTTTATATTTTTAATTACATACCTACGTAATATATGTTATATAAATTAATTCTTTATTGATGACATCTTTATGTTTATAGTATAACATGCATGCTCATAACGTTTTAAAGGTATAATATTATATTTCTTAATATGAAATAATCATTTTTTTTTTTTTTTTTTTACAGTGATGTGTCTCTTATTTGACGTTGATTTATCATTAACCAAATGTTCTTTTTTACACACTAAAGTTACATAATTGAGACGATGCATCATTTGAAATGAAAAATATTATTAAGTTACACCATCATGTCATTTAGTTTTAAAACTCAAAAAATTGGCCAGAAATCCAAGGGAAATTAAAACAAGTTAATATTTTGAAAAACCAATTACAACAAGCATAACACTACGGTTTTGCTTTCAATATTGTCAAAAACACTCCTTTTTTTTTTTCTTCTTTTTAATTATCTTGTTATTAATGGAGAAAGTAGATAAAGAACCATTATTGTAGAAGAAAACTGAAGGCTAGCATATTTAAGAAAGCTATAGCTTTTCAGAAGCACACATAGAAGTTTTGACATGCCCCAAAGTCTTCAATTTTTCAAAGTAAAATCAAATACAAACAACACTTAATCTTACAAAAACATTCCTCATTTATATATATATATACACATAAAATCTAGCTAGCTAGACAAAACATGCCGTCATATATATATATATATATATATTGCATGCCATTAAAAGCTGAGAATAAAGTTATTATATATATAGGGTACGTACTAGCTACGTACTGGCCTCACATGCAAATTTATTAATTCTTTGGAGACTTGTATATATTTTGGCACAGAAATTGTATCGAAGAATCATCAAATCACGTCAGGTTGTTCGTAGAACAACGCAAAATAAAACAAAAAAGACGATGTAAGGTAGAAAATTGAACCACAAAGATTATATAAAAGCCAACTGCAAGGTGTTTCAAAGTTCATTCAACAACAAAAGAAGAAAGCTTAATTGTCTAGCAAGGAGGTGTACATCAGTTCCCACCATGCATTGTAAAGATAGAAAGACAACAAGAACAACACAGCCAATTAAAGCAGAAAAAAAAGAGAATAGAAAGCAACTGCATGCCCTTCAGCCCTTCGTTATCCAAGCTCCCAGAGAAGAAATATGCAGATCAGGGCTGAACATCCACTGAGAAATACTGCTGCATGCAAAGGAAACAGTAAGTATATATATGACAGATATATTGTTATTAGGGGTTATTTGATCCTTAGATCATCCTTTTTATTTCCATTTTAAGAGATAACTCAGAATAAAGCTGAAACACATTACAAGTTCACAAGAAGTAGATTTGTAAATATTAAATAATACTTAAAAGATCAGGATCCTCTGATGATCTGAATTTTACCTGAACAAAATACAGTATTGTGATTGATGGTTAATAAAAAGAATAAAACTTAATATTGAAGTAAGAAGTTAAACAATTGTTTATAATTAGAGAAAAAAAAAAAATATGAAAGTTAATTACTTACATTGTTGGCAATCTGTGGGCTCAACGAGATTGAAGCATTGTACCAAACAGAATTACTACGAAGAATTAGAGAACTACTATATGCTTGTATTCATGACAAGTTAGATGTGATTAATAATTAACTTTCAATCTTTCATCAATAACCAAACAAGTTTACATATATATAAACATTCATCAAAGATGGATTGATAACCAAACAAACATGTAAATGTAAAAATATAAGGAAAACAACACAAGACATGTAATAATAATAGTGAGCCTCAGACTTACATTCAGTGGCTACTGGTCAGTCTGATGAGGCGATGGGGACCGGTATTGCCTCAACCATTCCGGTGGTGGCCAGAAAATTTTATGATATTCGGGCTGATATTCTAGAGGTATATCAAAGGTTTCTTCGACATCGTACACACGAACTTTGATATCTTCCAACAGAAGTCCCCAGAACTCATCTACTGGTTCCTCCTGCTCATCATCAAAGTCTTCTTCATCATCACTGTCAATTGGATACTTCACTTCATCAACAAAGATGATGTGATTGCCTTCAATCTCATCAAAGTCCGAAGCATCAATGGCGAATGACCACTTTCGGCTGAGGACTAACACGGTATCACCCAAGTCTTCAACCTCCGTCCATTCTTTCTCTCCATCCTCCGTCTCCTCCAGCCGATGAATTTTGAAATCAACAAATATATCTTCTCGAATACCAGGCCTTCTGATAAAACTATCAGTGGGGTTATGATAATAAACTTGATCATCACAAAGAGAATAGTCTCTTCCTACTAGAAGAAGATCCCCACCTGACTTTACCAAGAACCAATCTCCCAAAAAAGGATAAGGAACCGGAATTGTGATGCAATTGTAACTGGATTCCTGGACTGCAACCACAATTCCGAAGCGATCGACAACGTAGACATAACCATTGTGGCCTGCGATGTCGCGATACTCTATTTCTCGGTTCACCAGTGACCAATAGTCTTCACCGATTGTTACTGAAAATACTTTATGATCATTGATCACGAATAATGAGTTATCTGATTCAAAGTTTGATGACAACACTGCCTTGTTTTTGAGCTGTTCGTTGTCATTGTTACGGTTATTCAATGGCTGCGCAGGATTCGCGGCTTCATTTCTGATCCATTTTAGAGTGAAACTCTTACACACTTCAGTGACGCGAAACTCGAGCGAGTTCAACTCCTTGGGGAAGTATTCGTCTGGTAAACCTTCGATCTTTTTCATCGTGAATGGATTAAGAAAACAGAACTTGCCTTGTTCATTTGGTTCACTCACCATGATCAACCATCCGTCGTTCGGAGAGCCCTCTGGATCTTCGATAAGGTAGACCGTCGACTGAAACAACACGTACCCCAAGTTAAGCTGGTCCTTCGCGTTGTTTGAAGGAAAATACATTTTTTTGGGCAAGAGAACTTGCTCTTGAGGAGAGGGAATGGTAGTTCTCCAGGAATTACAGACGGCACGAAAACGGAGACGGCCTGAATGGGTATCAATGAATTCAGAGATAGAGAAAATGCCATCGGGAGTGAGATCAGCCCAGGAAATCTTGAAAGACTTCATGTGTTTGGCTCTGTGTTTGCAAACCCTAACCCTAAGTGTTGAAGAAGATGGAGTGAGAGAGAGAGAGGCGGATATGTCTATGTTCAGTGTAAGAGAGGGTTGATATTTGTAAGCCAGAAAAGGTCCAGTTGCGTCACTGTCTGACAGATGACGACTGCATGTCAGCCTTCTATCACAGTAACGTACGAGGGGTTGGTAAGATTCAATTTCTTACAAAAACAATAAAAGATAAAATTGTATTTATATATTTATTATGTAATTAATTAAATAATTATAGTGGTTTTAGTTTTCATGACAATTTCTTAAAATTTCATATTTGTTTAATTAGATGAAAATAAGTTATAAGTAGAAGAGACCGTCATATACAGTGGTCGACGATCATGATTATTGTGAAGGAATAATAATAGGGACGGTGGTGATGACGGTGTGATAATGGCGCGAATGTAACGAAAATGTAAATTATGATTTACAAAATAACGGAAAAGGAAAAACGAGATGTTTTGTGTTACAAATAATCTTCGAAAATAGTAAGTTGATGATTAGTTATCTTGTTTAGTTATATAAATAGCGGACGCTACGTACTTGATGCATGCCGCATGCAAAAATCTATTATTTCAGGTAAATAATTTTATATAATTATTAATTTTTCAATAATAATATGAGCATATATAAGTAATAAAAATGCAAAAAGTTTTTTTTTTCATATATAATTTTATGTCTCATAAAATTATAAATAAATAAATACCCAATAAGAATATAATTATATATACTCATTGAGAAATGTGATTATTTTAACTTGAATTATTTACCATATTTGATCATATTCAAAAACAGAAGTAATAATGTAGAAAATGGTGAAAAATGAAAAAGAAAATGTTATATATATTACAAATGATCGTGGAAAACAAAATATTTAATGCCGAAACAAATAACCCTATGTATTTAAAGAAATCTTGTTGAATGTCATATTCGAGTAGTTGTTGATAATGTTTTATCCTGTTTAAATATGCAGATAGAAAACGCTACCTAATTATACATGCCGCATGCACAAATCTATTATTTTATGTAAATTAACTAATATATAAGTTAATTTTAATGTAATATAATGATAATAAGTAATGTAAATGATAAAAAAAAAAAAAAAAAAAATCTTTACATGGTAATTTTAGGTATCATAAAAATAAAAGGAAAGTTAACCTATATAAGAACATATTTTAGGGAAATAAGATTTTTGAACTTGAATTAATTACCATATTTGTTCATTTCAAATATAAGTAGATTTAATAAATTAAATTAATTTCCGAACCATATAAAGTATAACAATAGTCTTAAATTAATAACCAGAAGTAAAAGAAAATTATATGGAGGCTGGAAGTGAAATATACCCAGAAATCAAACATCAAAATTATACACCAAATTAAAACCCTTCTTCTCAAAGATAAGAATATAATTATAAATGCTCATTGAGAAATTTGATTATTTTAACTTGAATTCATTACCATATTTGATCATATTCAAACAAAAAAATAAAAACAAAAAAACAAAAAATTAATTAATAAATAATAATGTAGAAAATGGTTAAAAATGAAAACGAAAATGCTACATTTTACAAATGATCGCGGAAAATAAAGTATTTAATAATCCTTTGTTTTTAAAGAAAAGTTTGTTAAATGTCATCATCGGTAACCGTTGATAATGTTTTATCTTGTTTAATTATGTAGAATTGTATGTGATTTTTCCATTAAACTCAGAGTATCGCGAGGTTATAACCCGATTCAGAACCAGATTGGCTCCATCGATTGTCCGACCTAACATAAGCTAGTCGTGACCAATCTTTAAGGTCGTTCAACCAATTCTCAAATAACTTCAGACTTAGATATCTTGGGAATGATCAAATCGACAACAATCTTTGCATAATTACAATGCCCAATTGTGAGAATATCGGAGTTACATTTCAATTTAATTGTAATCCCTTTATTTTTGCTCTTTCCTTTGTACAAACTTTGTATATAAACCTCCTCAAATAATGAGAAAATGTTTAAAAATATTCATAGAATTACTATTGTAAGCTCTCACAACAAATACAAAAAATAGTGGATGTAGGCTCAAGAGTCTATTTCGTCGAACCACTTTAAAATTTCTTTTGCTATTTACTTTACTACATTTATTACTGATTATCCGTAATCACACACACACTAGTTTCGATCTCGCTAAGGTCGATCGGATCACTCTAATTAGAGCAGATTTATGCATCAACATGCAGATAGAAACGCTAGGTATTTATGCATGCCGCATGCAAAAATCTATTATTTCATGTAAATTAACTAATATATATAAGTTAATTTTAATGTAATATAATGATCATAACTAATGCAAATGAAAAAAAAAAAAAAAAATTTCTTTACATGTAATTTAAGTATCATAAAAATAAAAGGAAAGTTATCCCAAATAAGAACATAATTATAAGATTTTTGAACTTGAATTAATTACCATATCTGTTCATTTCAAATATAAATAGATTTAATAAATTAAATTAATTTTCGAACCATATAAAGTATAACAATAGTCTTATATTAATAAATCATAAGTAAAAGAAAATTATATATATGGAGGCTGAAAGTGAAATATACCCAGAAATCAATCATCAAAATCATACATCATATTAATAACCCTTCTTCTCAAAGATAAAATTAAACAGCAAGTCACCAACTCTAGCTACATATCTGTTCTTTATTTGTTTAAGCAGAGATCAAAGGATTCATGTTTTATCAGAATGACTGATCATTTTAATAAGTGCTTTCTGGCCTGCATTTTATGATTTAGAATTGGAATATTAATGTAGACAAAGTTTATTGGGTTTATTAGCCACATCATTTTCAGCAATCACATCTTAAGAGTAAAACTTCGAAAATTAATCATGTTTTGTGGGTTGAATTTCCTTGTAACTACTGATACTGACAACACTCTTAGAATATGTATTAATAATAAAACACATTTAATTTCATGTCCTAATCGTAAGTCAAGAGACAAGATGGCAATCTAAACACCAAGAATTTATCAAAGAAACTAATTGATTCTGCCGTACAATCTTTTTTCCCAAAAAAAAAAAAAAATTAATAATAATAATAAACATATATAATTGAATAACACATGTAAGTAATTAAACATGTCAATTAATATATAGTTTCAAAGATTAATTAATCAAAGGTTAAGAAAATAGGGTGCACCCAATATATGTTTATATTTTTAATTACATCAGCTACGTAATATATGTATGTATAAATTAATTCTTATTGATGACATCTTATTGTTATAGTATTAACATGCATGCTCATAGACGTTTTAAGTATAATATTACATTTCTTATATGAAATATGAATATAAATTTTCTTTTACAGTGATGTGTCGTCTTATTTGACATTGATTTATCATTTACCACAATTAGTTCTTTATTTACACATTAAAGTTACATAATTGAGACATGCATCATTTAAATGAAAATTTGGATTTCGTTCGAAAAGTAAAATATTTTTAAGTACACCATCATGTCATTTAGTTTTAAACTCAAAAAATTGGCCAGAAATTCAAGGGAAATTAAAACAGGTTAATATTTTGAAAAACCAATTACCAACAAGCATAAACACTACGGTTTTGCTTTCAATATTGTCAAAAACACTCCTTTTTTTTTTTTTTTTTCTTCTTTTAATTACTTGTTATTATGGAGAAAGTAGATAAAGAACCATTATTGTAGAAGAAAACTGAAGGCTAGCATTTTAAGAAAGCTATAGCTTTTCAGAAGCCACATATTTTAACCCCAAAGTCTTCAATTTTTCAAAGTAAAATCAAATACAACAACACTTAATCTACAAAACATTCCTCATTATATTATATATACACATAAAATCTAGCTAGCTAGACAAAACGGCCTGTCATAATATATATATATATATATATTATATGCATGGCCATTAAAAGCTGAGAATAAAGTTATTATATATATAGGGTACTACTAGCTCACGTACTGGCCTCACATGCAAATTTATTAATTCTTTGGAGACTTGTATATATTTTCACAGAAATTGTATCGAAGAATCACAAATCACGTCTTGTTCAAACAACGCAAATACACAAAAGACGATGTAGAGTAGAAAATTGAACCACAAAGATATATAAAAGCCAACTGCAAGGTGTTTCAAGTTCATTCAACAAAAGAGAAAGCTTATTGTCTAGCAAGGAGTGTACATCAGTTCCCACCATGCATTGTAAAAGTAGAAAACACAGAACAACACAGCCATTAAAGCAGAAAAAAAAGAGAATAGAAAGCAACTGCATGCCCTTCAGCCCTTCGTATCCAGCTCCCAGAGAAGAAATATGCAGATCAGGCTGAACATCCACTGAGAAATACTGCTGCATGCAAAGGAAACAGTAAGTATATATATGACAGATATATTGTTATTAGAGGTTATTTGATCTTTAGATCATCCTTTTTTATCCCATTTTAAGAGATAACTCAGAATAAAGCTGAACACTTACAAGTTCACAAAAGTAGATTTGTAATATTAAATAATACTTAAAAGATCAGATCCTCTGATGATCTGAATTTACCTGAACAAAATACAGTATTGTGATTGATGGTTAATAAAAAGAATAAAACTTAATATGAAGTAAGAAGTTAAACAATTGTTTATATTAGAGAAAAAAAAAAATATGAAAGTTAATTACTTACATTGTTGGCAATCTGTGGGCTCAACGAGATTGAAGCATTGTACCAACAGAATTATACGAAGAATTAGAGACTACTATATGCTTGTATTCATGACAAGTTAATGTATTAATAATTAACTTTCAATCTTTCATCAATAACCAAACAAGTTTACTATATATAAACATTCATCAAAGATGGTTGATAACCAAACACATGTAAATGTAAAAAATTAGGAAAACAACACAAGACATGTAATAATAATAGTGAGCCTCAGACTTCCATTCATTGGCTACTG